AGCCACTAAGTCTAGATCTTTATTTTATTTTATTTTTTTAATTTATATTTTATTTTTTGAGTCAGAGTCTCACTTTGTTGCCCCAGGTAGAGTGCTGGGGTGTCATAGCTCACAGCAACCTCAAACTCTTGGGCTCAAGTGATTCTCTTGCCTCAGCCTCCCAGAGTGCTGGGACTACTGGCACCCGCCACAACGCCCTGCTTTTTCTTGTTTTAGAGGCGGGTCTTGCTCTAGCGGAGGCTGATCTCCAACTCATGAACTCAGATGATTTGCTGGCCTCAGCCTCCCAAGTGCTGGGATTGCAGGCGTGAGCCACCATGCCCTGCTTAGAGCTTTATTTTAACTATAATGCTAGTGGCTTGAATCTGTATGTACTCTCTCTATATTTGTATACACACACACAGGGGGCCCCTAAAGTTCATGTGCTGTTTACAATAGTAACTATACTGTTTTCTACCCTGTATATTGGCTGCACAAATGAATGAATGTTTGGACCGTTCTGGGCAGGAAGTAGGCTCTGCTTGCTTCCTCTCTTACTGCGACTGGGCAGGAAACACTGTGCCAGCAGGCACCTGGGAGATGGTGATCAGAAGTGGCCGTGGCAGGGCCAGAGATAGTAGGTTGGGAGATTAAGTGCAGCCATCAGAGCCCAGAGGGTCTTGCCGGGTGGCACGGATGGAGAGGGCAGTTGGAAAAGCCTCCCCAGGCCTCCCTGAGGAGAGTAAAAGTGTTTTCCCTGTTAACCTGAGAGGGGATTACTGGTTTTCAACCAGCAGCTCTCTAGATCTGCAGACCCCAAACCTGGGCCACAGGCCAGTACTGGTCTGTGACTATTAGGAACCAGGCCACAAGCAAGTAAAGCTTCATCTGTATTTACAGCCACGCCTCATCCCTCGCATCATCCCCTGAGCTCTGCCCCCTGTCACATCAGCTGTGGCATTAGATTCTCAGAGGAGCGCTAACTGTACTGTAAACTGCGTGTGCGAGGGATATAGGTTGTGTGCTCCTTTTGAGAATTTCAGGCCCAGCCTCCTCCCTGCATGGTGAAAAAAATTTGTCTCCCATAAAACTGGTCGTCAGTGCCTAAAAAGTTGGGGACTCCTGCTCTAGAGTCTGCCCTATGCACCCTCCCACCCACTCAGCTTTAGAGATTTTCTGGCTGGAAAAACAAAGAAGAGTTTGAAGGCGGGAGAGAAAAAAGAAAGAAGAAAGAGAAAAGGAATATCTCTTAAAATAAAACAGCCATTCTTTGTGGGGCTGAGCAGTTAAAAGCCATAAAACTGTGGCTTTCTGAGGCTGAATTGAATGTTAATCTTCAGTCCTTTAGAATAATTAAATGAAAAACCTTCTGAGATCTTAATGTGGCTTCTTTAAGAACAAACTAGGCATGGAGGTGGACAACTCATCCCTCTATCTCTGGCTCAAAGCATTTTTTATTTACTTATCCTTGAAACACACACACATACACATACAATGCAGAAACCCATAATGAGGAACTGTACCGAACCCTGAAATCTGTCGTTCAATTGCTAAATCATAAGGCTGTGAGGAATACAAAGGAAAATGAATAAAAATACCTTAATTGGGGGCCTGGATCTGCTACTGAGTGACTAAGCAAGTCACTCCCCCTCTAGGGCCTCAGTTTCCTCATTTAGATTAGATAATGGGTAATACACATAGTAACCATTTATTGAATTCCCCAGACAAAAGGGCAAATGGGTATTTGCCACCATGTTTGTTCTAATCATTTATCAGAGGATGCCAGGAACATGGATTTCAGGAGTTAGAAGGCTCAGTGAGACAGTGCTATGTTTGATTAGTGATGTCTGCCATTGGCGCAAGAGTATGGAGGGAGTTTAATAAACTCCAAGAGAAAAAGGGCTACATCTGTTTTGTTCACTGAGGTGGCCACAGTACCTGGCTTATAGTAATCACTGAGTAAATACTTTTTGAGTGACTGAGCTGAGGTGAATAAGATCTCCTTGTATCCACTTCCTTGTGTTTTCCTGTCTTCTTCAGACCAGCAATTGACTTTACTGAAATTATTCATCCCAAAAGTCCTCACATGTCATTAGCCTAGAATCCCGACTTCCCTTGGAAGAATATGTTCATTCTGCCTTACAGGGCAGTAGTTTATATGGTGCTTGCAGGAGGCAGCCCTGTAGAACATGGGCATCTTCGAGTTTATAAAGAGCCTCAGAGGAGAAAGCTGTAAACTGGGATTTTAAACATATACGTAGACGGGGTTTCAGTAATGCTGTTTGCTGAATCTTATAAATTGTAATCACATTTTGGCACCTTCTAGAAGAGTGGTTCTCAGTGTTTGAGGTGGGGCCCTTCGAAATGTCTGGAGACATTTTTGGTTGTGACAGGGAGAGGGGTGGGCTACTGTCATCCAATGGGTAGAGGCCACGGATTCTGCTCAAAATCCCACAGGGCACGGGATAGCTCCTACCATGAAGAATTACCTGGTCCCAGGTATCAGTGGTGCCA